GAACTAGAAAGCTTTCCAATTATCGATGGAATCCTTTCTCGGCGTTTCATTAGATGTCCTAAACGGCTCAACCGACCCAAATGGATCAGCACCATCGTCAAACGACGGGAAGCCCTGACCATATTCCGAGTCCCTCGTGCTATGCATTGAATCGAACCTAGAAAACGACTCGCGTGGAGGGAACAGCCCAAAGTTGTAATCAGAGTCCGCCGTGCTGCGGAACGAGTCAAACCTCGTGAGTGACTCCTGTTGACCAAAATACCCCTGGTCAAAGTCGGCCGACTCCCTAGTGCTGCTCTGCATGGAGTCGAATCTCGACAACTCGCGAGAACCAAACGGGCCACTGTCATGCATGTTGAAGGAATCGAACCTCGAAAAACTGTCCAAGGAGTAGTGATCCTCCGAACCTTCACCGAACTTTCGAGGTGAGGTGTTGAAATTGTACATTGGTGTACTTGGGACAGAATCGGCAAACTGACTATTATTATTATTGTTATTATTATTCCTTGTGAACAGGTTATCCACGTGGGGTGAGCTAGGGAAATTGTACTGTGGTGTGCTCGGGACAGAATCGAAAAATGGACCCTGCTTTGGGGTGCTCGGGACTGAATCGAAAAATGGACCCTGCTTTGAGGTTTTGGACCCAGTTCTAATTGGATTCAGACCCCATTCATCTGGACCGAATAAAGAACTCTCACTATGCCGTCCGTGCTCGGCTTCCTGATTTACAATTGTGGTACAATATTTAATCAAGAAGAATTAATATTCATAAAGAATACCGGAAGAACTACTCATAGGGTGTGATTGGATATAAATTCAATAAAAAAAAAAATCAAAACTCAAATTTAACTCAACATTAATTCAACCCCACTATCATCGATATTATCAATATAATTAAATAATATCAACCAATCATTATAACATATCACATCAACTTTAATTCACTACTAGTACGCTACCCGCGTGTTGCGCGGCTTGATATTAAAAATGATGTGAATGAATGATAATTTAATAGAAAAATATTTTAAAAAATCTATTGATATAAGCATAGACTAATTTTTTTACTAATCCAATAAATATACTACCACAAATATAACACTAATATATTTAATAGTAGATGAGTTGTGTTCATTATCACCAACAGTAATAACAATATTTAGACAACATAGATTCGTGACTATAAAAACAATAACAACGTATAATTGTCGTAACTAAAATATTCAATATATTTTTTTCTTAAAATTTTAAAAATTAAATTCATAAGCTTACAAAAAAATGTGATATACTATGAAAAAAATTATTTGTCACATTAATGACACTCCTTCAGAATTTTTCATAAAAATGTCTACGTGCATGATAACATAATTCCATAGGTACAAAAAAATAAAGTCATAATTACTATTCTACAAATAAAGTTAACATGTACGAAGGTGAGTAAATTAAAATTTATAAATATAAATTAAATACTTAAGAAACAAATAAAAATGACTTCTATCCGCATGTATTTAATTTTAAATTAGGTCCACATATTTTTCACTTTTTTATTAAAAAAATAAATATCAACATTTCAATTTTTTTGCAAAATAAGTGCGATGGTGATTAGAGAATGACGTGGAAGATTGATCATTTTTCGTAAAGTTATAAATAGACCAAGTAATTACACAAATCAATAGGATTACAATTCAGTGTAATTTTTAGAAATGCACATTGACAAAATTTTTGTAAAGTTATAAGAAAAACACATTTAAATTATATTATATAATATTAAAAAAAATGATTGTGAAATTAACATTGTGATAGATGATAAGGAAAAAATAGTTAATGCATTATAATAAGTTCTATTTAACTTTATCTACTACAACATTCAGTTGCGATAATATGCTTCTATTAAAAATTAAACGGTAACTGACACATTATGCTATTTTTATTTATAAACAACACTATTGTGTATTTATTAAAAAAAAATAAAGGAGGTCAATTTTCACCAACTTTTACATAACCTTAAATTTAAGTTCAATTAAAATAAATGAAGCATATAATTATCGGATCAAAATATTCAATCAACAGGATCATTTCGTCTTCATTGTCAAAACTACATTATCACTTTTTATCTTGTTGAAATTCTCACTCTTTCTGTTATCATTTTCTAAATTTTTTCATTTCACAATATTCTTTTATTGCTTACCCATAAATGAAACTAAGTTAGATGCTATATCCGAACACTAAATCAATTATTTTTATGTTATATACAAACTATGAAAATAAATGTTCACCTCATTGTACAAAATACAAATTTATGTCCAAACACTAAATCAATTATTTTTATGTTGTACACAAACTATGTAAATAAATGTTCACCTCATTGTACAAAAAAAATTGTGTTTATACATATTGAATTATTTTTTATTATATACTTTAAAATTGTAATTTTTATTTTCATATTATATTAAGAAAATAATCAAGATGATAACCGTCAATGTTAGATCAATAGCTAAAACTTATTTTTCATGAAATTTAAGATAATTGTAATTAACTTATTATTTAGAAATACAAAATTATTTCCAAATATCAATAATAAAACATTTAATAATAATAATAATAATAATAATAATAATAATATATAAGTCTAAAACTAAAAAGTAAAACTGACAATTGTGATATATGATGAAGAAAAAATAGTTGTTGCATTCGTAGTAAGTTGTAGGACTTTATATCTCGCAATGTTTCGATAAAGATGATACATTATCGTCATTCTTAAGAAAACAATATACGATACACAAATAAAACATTAACAATGAAGTTAACTTATTGTGCCTCAGAAATTATAGTTGTATACTTATGGACCAATAAAAAAAATTAATGAAGGCGAAACTTTATGCGTACATGTGTTTAAGTGGACTCTTCAATATTTTCATAAATAAAATAAATTATACCAACTAAAAATAATAAAATACCAAAAACAACATGAAACGACCTAATATATATATAGTTGAAAATTCGTTGAAGAAATGAACTATATATATGCATTTTTCTTTTCAGCCTTCACAATCAAATCCATGAGTTGTCTCTTTGAAATGATGTCATATCTCTTTTTTTGTACGCTATTATTTGTGGATTTTGTTTTCTTTTTAAAATATCAGTTATGAAATAATAGTCTATTGTGTATCTATAAAATACAGTCAATTTCATGGCATTTTCGAATTATAAGATGTCTTATTTTTCTTTTCTTTTGATTTCCTTGTTTTCATATTCATGGTTTATTAGTAAAAGAAACTTCAATCCATATAGTTCTTGAAGTTTCTTTTACCCAAGTAAAGTCTATTCAACATTTTCGGAGATCTATTTTATATGGATATAAAGGATCATCCCCAATAACTATAGATGATATTTAAAAAAAATATACTTTTTTTAGTTGAATAAATTATATTATTTATGATAAATATAACTTCATTATTTGTTGCCTCTCTCTATTTGTATTACATTTGTTATTTAAAAAAATATATTATAAAATACAATAAACAAAAGTATGAAATTTAGAAGTCTAAGTTCGCATTTTGGTTAAAAAAGAATGACACGTTGACTTCACTAAACCGTACTCCAACTCACATAAGAGTTTGTGAATGATTAGACTTTTTACAATTTAAATTAAAAGATATTGTTTAGGAATGAGGTACTCAATACAAATAATTAATGGTTACTTGTAATTTCTTAGAATTACATAGAGATATAGAATAATATAATATCTATAGTAATATAAAGAGCTTGTTGGAAAAATACTTTTATAGTATGTTTGACTAAAAAAATAAATGGTTTGACTTACTATTGGTGGAATTTCGAAAAAAACACATGTACCAAAAAAATTGAGATTTTTATGGTAACAAATTTGGAGATTTTTATGGTAACAAATTTAACCCAAAAAAAATTGAAGATTTTTATGGTAACAAATTGGGAGATTCCTATACCAAAATTTAATTCATTTTAAATATTAATCCATAGGAATCTACTTTTATTGGTAACAAATTTGAAGATTGTTATGCCAAAAAATTGAGATTTTGAATTGAGATATTCCAACAATTACGGATTTTTTCCCATTCAAATTAATGTTGTAAATCAAACAAAAAATATTCTAAAAATAATGGATGTTATACCAACTTTTGATAAACTCCAATCCCATAGGAGATTTCTATGGGATTCTTATGTTAACAAATTGGAGATTCTTATGCCAAAAAATTGAGATTTTGAATTGAGATATCCTAACAATTTCGGATTTTTTTCCCTTCAAATTCATGTTGTAAATCAAACAAAAAATTATTCCTTGAATAATAGATGCTATACTAAATATTGATAAACTCCAATCCATAGGAGATTTTTATGGGTTTCTTATGGTAACAAATTGAAGATTCTTATGGTAACAAATTTGGAATTCTTATACCAAAATTTAATTCATTTTAAATATTAATCCCATATGAATCTATTTTTATTGGTAACAAATTTGAAGATTATTATGCCAAAAAATTGAGATTTTGAATTGAGATATCTCAACAATTACAGATTTTTTTTCCATTCAAATTAATGTTGTAAATCAAACAAAAAATTATTCCGAGATAATGGAATATATACTAAATTAATATCACTGGGCCCACATGTTAATATGATATTAATTAGATAGATAAATTACATAAATTTTTCCTAACAAAATGCGTTCCAATATTGTTAACCAATTTAATGAGATTTTGTTAACTAATTTAATAGGATTTTGGTAACAACGGGATTTTCTTAGCTTTTCATGGAAACATGTATCTTTATTATTGATAAGGTTTGATAAGATTTTGTTTCCATTTTTTTTTTGTTTTTTTTTTTTCTCTCTCGAAAATTTTATAAGGTTTGATAAGATTTTGTTTTCTTTTTTTCTCTCTCTCAAAAATTTGAGTTGTGGATTTGAAAAAATAAATAAATAAAATAAACATATCATATTGATAAAGTTTTAGTGTGGGCATAAAATTAAATTTTTATTTGATTGAACTTTGTTTCATATAAACCTAAGAGAATCAGACGTTTGAAAAAATAAAATATTCATAGTAAATAATCATACCATATTTGTAAAGTTTGATTTAGAATATTGAGGCATAAAAATCAATTATGATTTGATCACATTTTGTTTTATAGAAGTTATCTTAGAAAATTTTACACGTTTCAAAAAATTAAAGATTATAATTTCGTAAGTTAAAGTTTTGGATTTGTCCAAATAAATAGAAAAATATCAAAATAAAAATATTATTTTTCGATCTATCCAAAAAGTCTTACTAAATTTCGTTGTAACAAACTCCATTATTTTTGGCTACATAATCTTCTAAATATTCATTCGTCCCTCACAAGTGAATCAAGTTCCACATTTTTTTTTATTTTTTTAACAAACACATATTTTTAGAAGTCAATCGTAATCATAATAAAAAAAATTGGATCGGATCATATTAAATACCTTACGTAAATATTTTTTTTTTTATTTCCCAGACATATGGCACATACACATGACTATATAAACATCGTTGAACAAAAAATATTCGACATCCAATATATCCCACAAAACAATTTTTTCTACAAGCTTTTACATCACCATTGAAAATGGCTTCGGATTTTGGAGTAATCAAGGATATCAAAAGATCCAATAAGCCACCAATCAAGCTACGCATAATTAGGATGTTCCAACGAGTTGAAGACGTACGCAATTACCGAAATGTTCTTGAGATTATCTTTCATGATTTTGAGGTAATATATTCTTTTAGTATTATTTAAATGCATCATTTTATGCAACATCTTTTATAATTTATTTATTGAATTATTCATTATGCAATGTTTTAGGGTTGACAAATTACTATCGTTGATATTGAAGAAGGTGGCGCTTATATCTTGACAAACTATCAAGTGAAAAGCAATATTAGCATCCATAAATCGACGATAGGAAAAAGGAGGATCATTATCAATGGTCAAACCAAGATTATCGAATGGAGGGGTGATTTTCCTATTTCTAACTTTAATGGATGTTCGTAACATTGATGAAGTCATGTTGTTTGGTACGTTATAATTTTTTTGTTTATTTCTTATTTTGATTTTTTTTTTAATTTAAAATATATAATAAACTATTTTATATGTTATACATTTCAATATGATGCACTTTCTTATATTTTTGTAGATGTTATTGGATTGGTTGTTTCCCATTATGTTTTCTTACGCCATGACTATAAATAAGAGTCAGGAACAATCATTATCGCATGTGAGCTTATTTCTTAAGAAACCAGTGTTTAGTCATGGCCAATTGTATGTTGCTGTCTCCCGTGTCACAAACAGAAATGGGTTTGAAAGTCCTAATTTGTGCCGACGATGACGTGCCAAAGAATCAAACCATGCACGTTGTATAAAAGAAAGTGTTCAATAATATATAGATTTTATTATCATTGTATTTATTAATTTATTTATTATTAATGACATGATCTTTCCTTTAGTAAGTACTTTGAATTTTAACTGAATATTGCTTTATAAAAGGGACGGAGATAATAAACTCCGTGCATCGCACGGGGACTGTACTAGTTAGATTAATAAGAGATGATTACATATTTTATTAACGTAAATTCCACCATATTAGAGTATATGTGTAAAACATGACATGGTGCTACTATTAGATATTTATATGTAAACATTGAACATGTGTATGTTAAAATAAACAATATAGAATTTTAAATGGACATATCGAATCTAAAAGTTTATCTATATATATGCAATATAGATACAAAATAAAAAATTATAAAAATATTTATTTATTATATTACATGCAGATATTGTATTAGTTATGATTTTTTCTATTTTACCTTGAAGTATTCCGAATATAACAGAAAAAATTAATATTGTGTTTGATGTTAAAAAATAAATAAAAACATATATTAAAAATAAATGATTTTAAATAAAAATTTTACTTTAAAAATTATTTTTAATGATTAATTAAATGAGATTGATAATTTATTTTTATAAGAAAAAAATATAATATATAAGGAAAGGAACTCATACTCACAAATGGGAAGAGAGACTAATAATAAGTGGGATATTGGAATGAGAATTCATAATAAATAATTATGTATAGTATTAAATATTATTTGTAACAAATAATTATGTCACTCACAAGGCATAAAAATATTTAACGGAACTTTGTACAATAATTGATTATGACTAAAATAAGTATTTATTTGTAACAAATAATTATGATATTGTTTTGAATGATAAATAATACACAGAAATTAACAAAATTTATTTCATGGTTATATAAGTGGTTGAAGCATTTATTTAGCCAAGAGTGCAAATTCCAATACAATTATGAATACAAATTATTTATTCGTATGTAACAAATATTTTTTATTGATAAATCATGCATAGAAATTGATAAAAATTTATTTCAATGTAGTAAATGTAGTTTTTGATGAATATTTTACATAAAAGTTGGTAAAATTTATTTCTAGTAATTAATATAGTTTTGGAGGGGAAATTCCAGCTGCTTTAGTTTAATATATATATATAGATTCATCCACCCACATAATTTTAATTAACCATCACTTCACATCATCTCTCTCCTACTTTTATATCAAATCAGCTTTAATTATTTTATTTTAAATATTATTTTAATTTAAACTTAAATTCCCACTAACAACTAACCATACCACATTTTTCAAAATTAACTATGGTTAACAAAAAAACCAATCAAATCCATATCCAATCACACCCATAGTATTTGGAAGTTGAAAGTTGCAAATTGGAAAAGTGGCTGATATCATAGAATTTCCACATACCTTTGATTCAATAGGATTGAAATCCCATGCTGCAACTGTATCATAACTAGTTTTATCAAAAGTACCCCAACCTGGTTCATCAAACCGGTTTTCTCCAGAACGTATAGATTCCACCCCATACTCACTGCAACATGAAGTGGATATTTTCAGAAATATCCTCAGAGAAAGAAAATGAAAGGCACATAGATCGGATAAAGGGTGGTTAATAACCTGACATGACTAGACTAAAAATGCACATAAAATAAGGAGATACAAAAGAAAATGACAGCTACCTTTGGGTGTCGAATGCACGAGGGGACACATTTACATGGATGTCTCTTGTTCGAAGGTCATGGATTTCCTTGGTTGGGCTGACTGCTGCTTTGCTTTCTGAAGAACTGTCAGGTGAACTTCTTGCAGTTTGTTCCTGGTCGTGAGTACTTGCCCTCGAATTCTCATCGGCCTTAGAAGGTGATTTTGCAGCATCCTTTTTATCTAATAAATGAACCTGTTCTCGAATTAAGGCAGACTTGGGTTTGGGAGGGGCAATGACATTTTCCACTTCAAGGGTAAGCTCCTTGACATAAGTGAATCCTGATTGCAAACATGACAAAAGGTTTATTAGTAGTTACTAAATGGAAGTGAGACTAAAATAAATGGTAATTTTGGAACCTTCGTCTTCAAATTTATCCCATTCTTTATCCCAATCAGCAGCCAGTGTTACAATGCCAGGTTGCCACCCTGGACAGCAATTTTAACAGCAAAATTGAGCATTGAGAGAAAATTACAGACATTCCCATTACGCATCACGAAGCCAATAGTGGTTTTCCTTTAGATCAGCAAGTTCATAATGTGAAACTTGTAATAATAGTTAAACTTCATAATTCCCTGGCAAAGATAGTTATCTCTTATGGCTTTAAGCTCATGGCTTCATCAGCTCTCGATATGCATGAAAGGAGTAAACCAAATGAAAAGCAGACTTGAATTGTTAATGAAAAATGGAACTACAAATTGATATTGTGATAGCTTATAGATTCTTATCTCATATCATTAACTGATTGATGATAGGCAAAGAACTATGTTCACATTTCCTCTTATACAACTCGATTAAAATAGTCTTAGTAATATCACATTGATGAGTAAAAGAATGTATGGAAATGTACCAAATGGAAACTCAACAAGCGACGTCGGTTTTCCGCGTAATCCATATAATTTGCACCGTTCATTCAAAGCTTTCACTAGTTCCTCAAGTTCTGACTGAATTTGATTAATTCGATCCTGGTAGACAAGTTTGTTGTAATCAGAATATTTTCTCATGGCTTGTTCAAACCATGCGAAGAACATCATACCTGAGCATCATCAGCATTATCTTGGTCCAATTTGGCGATTGCACGATAAAGTTCCATTTTTTTCTCCTACAAATCAAATGATTAAAAAGCCAAAAATACAACCGAAACATGCAGAGTCAGCAACTAAATAGGCATTTACAATTATTATGATTCCACCAAACAACATATAGTACAACAACAATGATACCTGAATATCACGGAATGTGGACTCTTCAATTGTTAATCTTGATGCTACATCACCAGCCTGCTTGTATTTTTCTTCATACTTATTTGCCAATGATTCAGCCTAAAAAAGAAATTTCAAGTCAAGAATCAAACAAATTGCATTTTATTCCAGTCAGATCAACAGCTATTTCTTCATACCTCTCGCTTGTCAGCTACAACTCTTTCAGAGATCTCGTTCAGACGATTGTCACATCGACTTTTGTATAGAATCTAGAATAAAAAATGACATAAGGTGACTACACATTCATTTACAGAAG